ACGTACACATAAACATAGCAATAGCGCACAATTCCTGAAATTACATCCCTCGACCGGCGAAACGCCTCGTACAAGATAAAAGATTCGCGATGGAAGCGAAAGGATTCCCGCGAGATTTTCGACAAGGATTTCAGTACGTTTCCCTTTTAATCTCGTTTTCATCCCTCCGCATCAATCTTACTCTCGAGAGCGCGATGCATCCATGGATTTTGATAACGAGACGGCCTCTAGCCGGGAGCTGATGATTTCTCGATGACAACGTAATTGATACCCGCGGATGAGGAGAAACAAGCAAGAATACTCTCGCGTGATCGGGGATAATTTTCCGTTTTTCCGCCAGTTGTTACGGAATTTTGCACGATTCCTGATTGCGCCGCGAAAAACTAGATAAAAATATTTCTGGCAAACCGAGTCGCCCCGTACAGAAAGCATCGCCGTCAAATTGTATGTGCCATATATGCGACTAGTGAAATATTTAAATTATATTGAATTTTAAACATTTTATATTTCGACTCGTGTACACTACATTAAAATGTAATATAATTTAAAAGGTTTGAGCATTTCCTACATTTATACATATTTTCAATTTTATTCAACGCCGCGCGTGTCTTTCATTTTTTTAAACTGGAACGAATATCGATTACTTCTAGCTGACATTTTGTTGCGAAACGAGAAACACGAGTTTTTCCCCAAGAATTTAACCCATATTATAAGCGCTTTTATATTCATCAAAATGTCATATAACGGTTTAATGTTGAATTTAAAATAGATACGAGATAATCAATCTTGTAAAGTGAAAATAACAGTAGCGTAACATTAGAAAAAGGCATTTATTACGGGCTAGAAAAAAAAATTATTGATTAATTAATATTATCGCGACTATTTATGCCGAAGGATATCTTATATTAGCGGCACAGGTTCAGTTGTCGCTAATTGTGGTACGTATATCACTCGCGACCGGATTAATCGCTTATCGGAAAACTAATCAAGTAACAGTGCGCGGAAGTGCGGGTTATAAATTAATCCGTTATATTCAAACATATGTATGTACGTGGTCCCGTAAACGCGTCGAGGTCAACGTGGATATTATATGGAGGGGTCGAGGTTTTTCATACGCGCTCGAGTCTTTAATCCGGCGTCAGCTGCAAAATTCGCGTCGAGATGGCCGAATAGAGCGGCCGGGATTTGGGGTGAACGAGACGAGATCTACGGCGGCGTTTCGACAGCGTGATCAACGACGTCACGTATCTCGCATTACCTTTCACGATGCCGTGGAACGGTTTACGGCCACGGAATTAAGGCACGGAGTTAACATCGGCCGATTATGTTAGGTCGCGTTTGTGCTGCTAGTCTTAATTAATCCCGCCCACTTATTCCGGACTTTCACGGCCGACTTGAGCTGATATGGTGCGTTTAATCCGCGGTCTTTGGCGAAAGAGATAACGTTTCATCATTAGTTTCCCCCCCCCGTCCCCCCCCCCCCCCCGAGACCGGCAAGAAAGAGCGAGACCGAAACGAGAGAAAATACATATATCTTTTCTTATATCATCGGAGATATTTATCGTATATTCTCCATCAATATAGATATATATTCCATCTTGAAAACTTTCCCACGAGACAATCGCAGCTCGCAAGGTTGAAAATCAGTTTAGCGATAGTTTTTCAGGAGAAACGACGTAAACCCGCCTGAAAATTAGCCTTCCGCCTTTTCCTATCGAGTAAATCTGGACTTTTATACAGAACATAGAGTACATGATACAGAGTAACGCGGTCGTGAAATGGCGCTCTTTGTACTATCTCGAATTTAATCGTTGAATTTAATGAAAGTGTCCGGCAAAAACTCAAACGTTTTCCGGGTGACGTGCAATGAAATACTCATTTAACGCTCGTTAAATACACGTTGAGGGTGCCTCCAGCTTGCGTCCGCAGCTCTTCGCTCTGAAAACTCGTGAAAACCTGCGAGAGGTCTCCTTTCGATTTATTCCAACGCGACGCGAAAATACGAAAGGAGAGCCGATCCCTCGAACCGAGCCCCGAAAAAAAGCAAGCGACGTGAGCGCACACGCTAGAGAGACAAAAGTAATTAAAACTCGCGAGATAGCGCCGATCATAACCGACCGCTGCTGTGTCAGTAGGGCTTGCGCGAAATTGAAATTCCATTTTAATACGTTTAACAAAACGCGAGAAGATTAAGCGGAAGAATCCCGGGAAATTGATCAGCTGCCCGCGGGGAACGCGCTAAGATCGATAGTCCGTCCCATCTAATAAACGCGGTCTCGCGGCATTTATTCCTAGCCACTTTTCTGATATTACGGAGATAAATGATCGGTGACGTGGGGACCCACGAGAGAAGGAGGAAGAGGAGGAGGAGGGGGAGGAAGAGAAGGAGGAGAAAAAGCCCAGGTTTTAGCCGGATATGTTGTCCAAATTCGCCGCCGTTTGCACGAAACGCACGTTGCACCGGCAAATTGAAAACGTGTTTGGTCGTGTATAACATTTAGGCTTCGCAAATGTTTTTCAATTCGACACACACATGGCAAATGGTTACTACAAATACCGAGAAAGAGAGAGAGAAAGAAAGCGAGAGCTCGGGAAATGGATATACATCGCAGATTTTCGAGCGAGTTACGTATGTTTTTACAAATAGGTATTCGTGTATCGCAGAAATAACCGTAACAAACGTCATTGTTTGGCTTACGTATAATAAGTCTCTCTCGAAAATCGCAAAAATTACGTTCGTTAATTTTTACCAGCGACGTGATTACGGTCGGAAGGCGTGAGCCGCGTGTCGACGTCATTTCCAGCCGGAAGATCGGGCGAGATGCCATTGTAAAGGGCACCTCGTCAAAACGGCGGTTGATTTCCGGGAAGATTAATAATCTCCGAACGGAACGGCTCTCTTTCTCTCTCTATCTCTCTGCGCGACGCCTGTCCGCTCTCTTTCTTCGTCTTCCACCGCTCAACCAAGTTCCGACCGAACTTTATTATAAAACTAATATTTTCCAAGTTCTATGAGGTATTACGATAGTTTTCTGAAAGGGCCTGCCAGCGCGAACGGCGAGGCGAAATGGTCCGCGGGGCGAAACTTCAATATTCGGCGACCATAACGACACCGACTGATATATTATTTCCTACAACTTCCACTCTCGAGGTTTTGTCTGCTTCGCGGCCGGAAGAAAGGGAAGAAAACGCAGAGCGTAAACGAGGAGAGAAAAAAGAGAAGAGATGGAAACTTGATTAAGAATTCCATCCGCTTGTAGCCTCGCGCAAGCGTTCTTCTTCCAGGAAACGAGAGAACCCGCGATGCTTCGCGTAGCGTTGCGTAGCGAATTAAATGACCGGCGAGATATGAAGATTTAATAATAAAATTGCGCTGACTCAAGTATTTTTTTTTTTATTTTTTTTTAATGTTACCTAGCAGAGGGCTCGAGAGAAAGACTTTGCACGATCCATCGCTCAAATTGATCCTCCGGTACGGCAAGCCCGATAACGATCACGGTGCATCGCGCAAATTAACCCCTTCAGTCGGATCGAAATGGCTCAGGTTTGGTTCGACGAATGTGTCAATAACGATCGATATTTCCACATTGCACGAACCTTAACACGAAAGCTCTATTCGCGCTCTTTACGTATCCCAGTGCGCTTACAACTCGATATTCGCAACCAGTTTTCAGATTCGAAGGTTTGAAATTTCCTTATTCGCGAAGGGAATATCAATCGACATCAACCAATTGTTGTAAAATAACGAATAAAGAGAAATTCCAATTTTCACTGCTTTCGGGTTTCCAGGAGTTACGTAGTTTTCAAGCGAACAATAATCGTACAAATCTTCCGTAGAAGTAAGAAGTAGTCGCCTTTTTTTTTATTTTTTAAATAAAATAAAAAGGGAAAAATATAAAAAAAATTAAAACAAAATTTTTTCCCATATTTTCTCATCTAACTTTCATTTTTTGGATCGTTTCTTTCTCTGTCTCGTTCATATTCGCGACAATTTCGAAGAATATACTCCCAAATGTATACGTATGTACATATGTATGTACGTGAAAAATTTTCACTGTACATTTTCATAATGCAAACATATAACTATTTTGTATATATATTTTATCTTTCCATTCTTTATTTTATTAACAAACATTACTACTGATAAATTTCTTTTATTACAACAAATGTTGCTACTGATAAATTTGGACCTTTCTCATGGACGGTATCGAATCGTCGTCGGGAAAAATCGTGGAGAAAACAGATAGGAGATGTCGGAGCAGCGGGAAAAGTAGGAGTCGGTCGTGGGGTCAAGGGATACCGAGCGACCTAGAGAAAAAGGCAGAAGGGGGAGAGATAACGGAACCAAGAGACGCGACAGAGAACAAAGGGTGCTTATCGACGCCGCGGTTCTTATCCTCGGTAATTCCTTTTATTTTATCCGTTTCTTCTCTTTCGCCCATCCTCTCGAGAACCGTTACTACCACGACGTACAACCCGTGAGATAATCGCACCGAGATCTAGCTACTCGAATGTAGACCAAACTATTTCCGAGCGTATCTTATAGGCGCGCGCAATCTCTCAGATTTTTCCCTATTAAAAATGTTTTTCCCCGAGAAAAAGCGACATTAATTCACTTCGACGTAGCAATTTGCCCAACTTCCGCGAAAAAGCGACAGTAGCGGAAATCAACAGTAAAGTTTAGTATGACTGACGTCACGGCGTAACTTCTAAATGACGTTACGAAAAGAGAACTAGTTGTTAAATCGATTGAGTTAATTTTTCGCTTTAATTTTTGCGTCTCTGTATAAAGTAAGTTTGCGACAATGACAACAAGGCTAAACGGAGGATAAATCTGACACGTCGATACCTATATTTTAATTTCTCTCCGTTTCGCTTAAAAGAAATTGCGCGCCTTCAATGCGGAATATTTGCGTTATCGGAGTAAATGCGAAGCGTGAGAACGGGATTAGCTTGTTGTGTAAGGGAGTTTTTTGCGAGTCAATATTTAACGAACTTACCGGGTGTAGATGACATACTGCGAAATTGGAGTGTTGTGGGAATTAACACCAGGTGCCCACGATATATTCACAGCTTTGGACGTGTAACTTATGACAAGCGGTCGTTCCGGTGGATCAGGCACATCTGAAAGCAAATTGTATCACTTGCAATATAGTTCGCTGCGACATGTAATCGTAAAAATTGATTTTGCGATTTATGATTTCGCCGCGCAAACATGAATCTTGGCGCGAATATTGATTAAACGAGTATGCAATGCACATATAGTGCGTCAGTTACTTGGGGAAGATATTATTTTCAAGTAGTTGTGGATCAGCTGTATGTACGCGACACGTCTATGACACAACGCTAACTCGCTTTAGTTTCTTAAGCTAAAATTTATTTTATTCAAAGTTGGAGTCACGTAGTTGATATTTCTTACGGGCATATTCATCAATATCGACATGAAACGCAAACACGTAACAACTCTACGGATTCTTATAATATCCATATTTCTGAAGCAATTTTCTTGTCGTAGAATTGAAATGTTTTGTTCCCATAGACACTTTTAAACAAACGTTATACTTTTCTAGCGTATATTTTAAATGTCATAAATTTATGCATCGTATTATTTTTTATACTATAATTGGGTAAAACAAAATCAAATAAAATAAATTATTGAGCAATTAAAAATTATTGAACGTATAATTGTTGAAATTATAATGAAATTTATTCAATGTAGAAAAAATAAGTTGAACTGCAACATAAATATGATTATTTACGTTTAAGCTGAAATTCAAACTAACCAAGAAATTAAATTATTGAGATATTTAACGTAAATTGTTGAAGCGCCTCAATCCAGAACGTAAGCCAACCGTAAGTGAGTCTAACAACAATTTCACATGCTTGTGTAAACCAACTCGGCGTGTAACAAACAACACCTCTTCCGTATAGTGCATAAAATATCATATAATTACGAAATTGTGTTCCATTTGATCGGTTTGTTTTGATGATTCAGCGTTTAAGCCTCCGACCCAACTTTCATTAGGAAAAAATCAATCGCAAAATTCGAAAGCGAGCCATTTTGTATCGCCAGAAAGTACAATTATCATCAGTGCAAAAATAATCCTGAAAAAAATCGTAAAGAAAAAATGAATACATCTAGTTAGTCATATTTTTACAATTTAAATTAATTAAATAGTACAAAGCGAACTAATTAAATATTATAATATATACAAAAAACCATCCAATTCGCATAAGTCAGAGTGAAGCTGATGAGAAAAACTAGGAAATTTCGAAAAAAATTTAATTCGCAAGTTTACGCGAGTTTAATCCGCGCAATTTTATTTTTTACAAATATTAGCATACATCCCATTTGTATTCTCGTGTCGCGAACGTGATGTATACTTGGTAAATACAATCGAGATACATAATATTTTCATGAAACTCTCGAAGTCGAAGTCGCTCATGCGGGAGAGACACCGATCACGCTCGTTGCGGGGGCGGCGGCTGCATCGGATAAGGCTCGGTCGTTTAATATGCACCGTCGTACGGCGCGGCGCGGCGCGGAGCAGCGAAATATAACATTGCGTGCACGTTGCATAAGATCATAAATGAGAGCGGGGACCTGTAACCTCTCAGGATGGAGTCGTCATCCTCTTCCGACCTCGGTCGCGCGTGCGCGACTCTTTATGTCGGCTGTTACCACGCGCCGTGACACACCCGCGCGAGAAAAATTTCGAATGCGGAAACCCTTGTTCTCGCGAGAGAAAGAGAGGCGGAAAGGGAAAGAGAGAGGTTTCGCACAAATACCGCACAATGCCCGATTCGATGTCAAATATCGGAAATAGCGCAAAAGCTACGATGTGTACTCATACGTCTCTATCAGTTGCATTAATTTACGTGACTTTTACGTAATTAAGCGCGCACTTGTCTACATAATATTTATATCTGCTCGATATGACGCTCGATGTGACAGGAAACTTATAACGAGACATTTTAATTCACCGTTTATTTCGTTGCATTAGCTCGTATGATTTTTACGTGATTAAATGTGCACTTGTCTGTGCAATTAATACTTGCCCAATTTATTATCAGTGCATTAGCTGATACGATTTTTACGTGATTAAACGCGCACTTGTCCATACAATTTATACCTGTTCGATATCGTTCGACGATAATTTCGGTAATATTAAATTAATTCTGTCCATCACATATACACACATATGCACTCTTAAAAATCTGTCATATAGTATTTATTTTATCGTAATGAGATATTAGCGACATGATATATCTTTGAATCTCGTCAAATATAAAAAAATAAAATGTATTAAACAACCGACATTCCTCGCGATGAATGCAGGCGGATCTTACTTACGCTCTTATCGTTTTTTCTTTATGAAAAGCAAGTCGTCTCATAATTAATAAAGACTCGTCATATTAGACTCTTGGATAAACCGCACTTTTTACGATGTTATCTCCTGTGAAATTTGCATGCTTTTCGCGTATTTGCTTGTAATTCCGCGTGGAAATATACCAGGAGAAAAGAGAAAATTTAAAAGTGTAGAAATGGAATAAATGAAATTCGCTATGAATGCACTGCCGTCGTTCACGGATCTTTATTAATTTCACATAGCGTTTCCGGTAAACGAAAAAGAGAACGCGAGAGCATTACGGGCGTCTTGAGTGGCTATCGGTTTTTCTTCGTTCGAGCAAAACAGTAACAGTGAAACAAATAGCGCGAATCAACTCTTATCATAAGAAAATATTTTCCTTTGTAAGTCTTTGTCTTTCTTCGCATAATCGGCCGACACACTCTCGTTTCTCGCGCGCGCATTTCTCTTAATATAATATATTACAGCACCTATTAATCTATTCGTGCGAAACTATCGCGTCTTATCCAAAGTTTGCGTTGCATAAACGCAAAGATGAGTATAAATGGCTCAGTCTGCTCTTTGTGATAATTTAGTTTAGAGAGAAGCTGCATGATGAGTTTAGATGAAAAATTAATTAGGTCACAAAATGGAAGTTATATTTCTACTGTCTTTTATTCATTGCTCTGAATTTGTCAAGACTTTGAAATCGTTCTTCTATTTTTTTATTATGCCTTTGTCGGGCAACAATTGTGTCATTTGTAATGTTTCTTCCACAAAAAAATAACTCGCATATAAGAAACCAGAAGAGAAGCGAATCTAATATTAATAGTTAGCAAGTATTTGAACGAATGAATGAAAAGGAATGAGAGAGAGAAATATTTTTTCCATACTCTGCAATCGAAAAGTAATTTTCACTATTACACAAAAAAAATATGTAAGAGGAAACGCGCCTTTGATAGCTAGCAGAAAACATAGATTTGTAATTGGTACTAAAGGGAAATTATGCGCGCTAGAGCATACCCATGAACGAGATGTCTAACATTAAAAAACCTCAATTGGAATAATCCAACATTTTTTTGCTTTAGAAAAAAAATTTTAATCCTTCCCCCGTCTTTCACAAAAAAATCTTAAAAAATTACTTGCGCTTGTCTCTGCGCTCATCCTTATAAATGATTAATTCTTGGTGTGTCTATTAACATCTGAGAATTCTATTCATATTCTCTACTGAGAATTCTATTCATATCCTCTATTCATATCATTTCTTATCACCGTGACATCTAGATACGAAAATAAAGGAAACTGACTGCGCACTGATTTCTGCTCTTTTTTTTAAACTGAGCTTAAAAAAAAATAAAGACGTAAACAAAATATTTTATCCGTTTCACACAAAAACAAGCAAAACGTTGCAATTATTTAAATGCGACATTTAATAAAGAGAGATTAAAATCAATTACGAATCTTCTCGTTAATTCTCGTCAGGTATTAAACAGTAATTCTCTCTCGCTCTCTCTTTTCTTCTTTTCCCTTCGATCTCCCATTAATTCTATACCATTTAAACAGGGTACGCCGCTCCACCACCCATTGCCATCTTTCATTAATAATTCATGCTTTCCGCTTTACAGGGTCAACAGTGGACGTTTCTTCGTGCCACAAGTCGAGCGCGTAGCATCGCACAAAGCCACCGAAAGACACGAGGCGAAGTAAAATCGAGCGGGTTGTACAAGTCTCGTTATACAAATTCTTATAGTTAACATTTTGTAATATTAAAATAATTCTAGAGAAGGAGACTAGAAAATGTTAGGAGAATAGAAAGTGTTTAGATTCTTGATCTTAAACCGCCGCGTAAACGCAAACGCCGTCACACCCTGCGCAAAGTAAAAAGTTAAAATCGCCCAACCAATTCCGATGCGCAAAGTAATTGAGTGATAAAATAATAATACCGTTAATATTGACGTACCGTTAAAATGTCTCGCGAGTAAATTGACGTTTGACAGGCGCAACATCGATTGTGCGTTATTATCTATCAATTATTTGAAATGAACGTAAATTAAGTGGGCGCGATATCCTCTAAAGTGTGCACTTAAATATGTAAACTAAAATATGCAAAATAGGTACGTGAGGTGACTAATTAAGTCTCAACGTAACGAATTAAAAAACTCTGCGGCAGTGAATTTACGCGGCAGTTTTTCTAAGCTAAAAACTAGATGGTCTCTCTCCTCCCTCTTCCGTGAAATTAATTGTTAAAAGTATTCTCGTTACGGAGAGTGACCGGTACGGAGGATTTCCTTAACGGTGCGAGCGTGTTAGTGGCGCATACCAGGATAACCGCGCGTATGCACCGAAGGATGCCAACGTCGTCCTTTACGGTAGAATATAAATTCCAACGAGCGCGTTTAGCGGAATTTACGAGCGTCATTTTAAGAACTGTTTTGCCTTGCTCAACCATATGGTTCCCACGTAAATATCTTTCGCTCCGTCTCGCCGTTAAAACTCAGTACGCAACCATTAACCGTATTCTGCCTACTCGTGACGCGTACATTTTCTCCTTTTGCCGACGTCATCGGCATAATTAGCACTTTAGTTAATAGCGATGAGATTAATACGACTCTCGAGTGCTAATTAAATTCGACTTTTCGTCTCTCAAAAGAAATCCGCGTCACGGTAGCGCGCGACTTTGCGTGTACAATTGATAATATTAATGATAACTTTGTGACGACTCTAATGCGGACATTAAAATTGCGCGCTAAAGACTTTAAAAGTTATCGTTTATCG